GACCTGCAACTGACGGGCCCTTCCATCAAAATAGCGATCCTACAGCTTCTTCAGGGCGTTCGCACACCTCCTTCAATTCCCCCAAGGTCCATCTCCTCTTCGGTTCGGCCGGCCTTCTTGGCTCAGCAGGTGATTGGGTCTCAAGGCCTTTTGGAGGGACGCATCGCCTCGTCTTGGCTTCCACTCCAACAACAATATTATGACGAGATAAGATGTCGACGATCTGTCTCTCTTTGGGCGTCCCGTCTCTCACAACAGCTGATCTCGATCGGCTTCTACATGTGGGAGCAACGGAACTCCGTTCAACATTCGGATGATAACGTTCAATTACGTGAACGTCACAGTACTGTCAATGAGGGGATTCACTCACAGTTTGATATGGGTCCCGATGACTTGCCTAAGGAAATTCAACCGATGCTAACATGCCGTCGACGAGTCCTTCGCAAGTCATTGGTAGACAAGGAAGAGTGGCTTAAGTTGCTTCGTCAGGAACGCAGAGATTTCCGTCGCTCCATGAAAGCACAACGCCGCAGTCTGCGGACTATTTTCTCCCCTGGACCCTAACCAACTTTTCGCGGGACCTCACATGCCCCGAATTCACCCCGCCATGTCGCGGGAGAAGTCTTTACCCCTTTGGGAGACTTGAGCAACTTCTGTTCAAAATGCAGATGCCTCAAATGGTTCAAACTTGTTGTTGACTCACCGCTTCACAGTACTTGACCTTTACAGCCGAATATTTCACCGGCAATCGAATGCCCATAGAGTAGCATATTAACGATTAATGTCTCAGTTATTATTATTATTATTATTATTATTATTAAGGAGATCAACTTCGCACCAGTTACGAAATTGAATAACAGCAGCCATTGTGATGCAATAATGTGTTGACGATTTTTGTTGTTTTTGATGTGTTGTTTGGTTTCAGGTCGAAAAGTGTCGGACTTGAAGTCAGAAATCACTGGAGAGAATCGCCAGAAGGCAAACGTTGGTGATATCTGGCAACTTCAAATAATTTAGCCCTAAATGTCGAAGCATCTGATATTGAGACCTGTATATAAACGTGGCACGGATGGTTGCACGCATGGCACGTCTGCCGTTTAGCCTTCGCTAGCGAACAATTTAGTCGACGCTGCGACGTGATTAGCCTTTGGTGCACATCCAAACGGCGAAATTGTGGCATGAAAAAATCACGAGATCGATACGACGATGGTGATCCTAACCATGGCTGAATGAGGCGATTTCCTCAAACAGATATTATTCGAAAGCCTTCCCAGGCTCCTCTATCCATTGTGGATTGCTTGGGTCTGATAAACCGTTAAATTGAGTAGCGAGGTACGAGAGATTCGGGACGAAAACGAGTACAATGACAAACATGGGGATTTTACAAGATGTGTGCGAATCTCTAGGTTAAACTATCTAAACGTACAAATGACGGACACTCTCTGGTCCAATTAACGAAAAAAATAGTTGGTTTGGGTCAGGGACGCACCACAAGGCAAAACGCGCTCCTAAAATGTGTCCGTTAACATTTTTTTAGGAATGTCTGTCTGTAGTATCGTCCTCAAACGGGCACGCCCCGTGCGTGAGTTTCACGCGTCAAGGGGCACGCCCCACAGGTGAGTTTCACGCAAAGTCGCGTGAGTTTCACGCAACAAGCACGCCCCGCGTGAGTTTCACACGGAAACGGGCACGCCCCGCGTGAGACATTGCGTGAGTTCCACGCGAAGTCGCGTGAGTTTCACGCGGAAACGGGCACGCCCCGTGTAATTTTCACGCGACAACTGGCACTCCCCGCAAGAGACATCGCTTGAGTTTCATGCGAAGTGGAGTGACTTTCACGCGTCAACGAGCACGCCTCGCGTGAGTTTCACGCAACGTTGCATGCTTGCCTTGCACGAACAACAATTTTGGCTACAATTTTGCGACTTGAGGATTCTTCAAAAAGCACACACCTGAACACCCAGCATCGGCTTCCACACATTCAATTTGGACTTCAGCTCTTCTAAAAAAATAACTATATCTGACTTGCCACCCTTGTGCCAACCGCTCCAATGGACAATGTAGCCATTGTGAATTGAGCTAGCAACATCATACTTTAGGCCTACTTTGTGGCGTTTGATATCCCACATTTTACTGTCAAATGGCCACTTATCATAGCACCCAAACGTAGTAGCATCATGCACGATTGAAGCCATTGTGATCAACTTGTTCCAAAGTAATAAAACCAAAATATCTGTTGACGAATTCCATCAAGAGCTTCAAACTCATTGATAAGGTAGTTGCGTATTGCTTGGAGAACGACATTGCTTGGAGAACGACATCATCCAGTGTGTGCCCCAGCTCCGTCAACTCACGCAATTGGCTTCAAACTCACGCAACCCACGTTAAATTCGCGCGTCAAACTCACGTCCCCGCGTCAAACTCACGTGTCAAATTCACGTACCCGTGTCAAACTCACACGTCAAACTCACGTACCCGCGTCAAACTCACGTATCAAATTCAGGTCCCCGCGTCAAACTCACGTCCCCGCGTCAAACTTTCGCGTCAAACTCACACATCCCCGCGTTAAAAGCCACGCGTCCCCATGTAAATTAGACACCCCGCGAAAGATTCACGTGGCATTTTACGCGAACAAAACATTGTTCTGAGAAAATGTTAACGGACACATTTTGGGCGCGCGTTTTGCGTTGTGGTGCGTCACAGGAAAAAAATAGTTGTGCCGAAAATTGATCGGCAAGATGGGAGACGTATGGGCGTTTCTGTTGGATATATTAGGATTTTCAAAGTACATATTTGGAGAAACGAGAAAAAGAGAATACATGTGAACGATAGAGAAAATATGTCGACTGATACGACTAAAAATGAAGACTGATACGACTAAAAATATCGCGCGTGGCGAGTCAGAAAAAGGATCATATTTCTATGGGAATCATCCTGTTGATGATGTAAGAAATCAAGATTCAAGCAAGAACCAAAGTTGGATACTAATCAAAGTACCGACTAAAGTGGAAGGTGAACGAATAAGCAGATTGAACTTGCAGCATATCAGGCTGACGTAGAGAGAATTCTGAGAATTTCCACTGAGCTGGAGAAGAAAGAGTCAAAGTCAAAAGTTGACAGACTGTTCTCACTTTTTATAATATATTGCAAGC